CAGCCCCCTGCTCCAGCAGGGACACCCAGAGCACGTGGCACAGGGCGGCATCCAGGCGGGTTGGGAAGATCTCCAGAGAAGGAGACTCCACAACCTCCCTGGGCAGCCTGTGCCAGGGCTCTGGCACCCTCACAGTAAAGAAGTTCTTCCTCACATGCAGATGGAACTGCCTGTGTTTCAGTTTGTACCCATTGCCCCTTGTACTGTCACTGGTCACCGCTGAGAATAGCTTGTCCCCTTCTTCCCTACATTCCCCCTTCATGAACTTATACATGTTAATCAGATCCCCTCTCAGCCTTCTCTTCTCCAGGCTAAACAGGCCCAACTCACTCAGTCTCTCCTCATACGAGAGATGCTCCAGTCCCTTAATCTTCTTTGCTGCCCACTGCTGGACCCTCTCTAGAAGCTCCAGATCCCTCTTGCACTGGGGAGCCCAGAACTGCACACACTTTTTTATATTATTTTGCTCCTCTTATTGCAGTGTGTCAGTCATTCTATAATGAGGCCAAATTAAATGTAAACTTTTAAATATTTTTCCTCACTCTCAATATTTTGGGTGACAGAGCCCTAAAACAGGCTGCCCAGGGAGGCTGTGGAGTCTCCTTCTCTGGAGGTCTTCAAAACCTGCCTGGATGCCGCCCTGTGCCCCGTGCTCTGGGTGTCCCTGCTGGAGCAGGGAGCTGGACTAGATGATGTCTAGGGGTCCCTTCCAACCTCAACCATTCTGTGATTTTGTAATATTTTACAGTATTTATTGAATTAAAGCTCTTTTTAAGTTGTCATCTTCCTAGCTCACGCATAAGTTTTMTTATTTTAGAAGACAGCAATTTAAAAGAGAACTGCCTCTCACCCTCACCACCACCCTTTTTCAGGTAACATGCATGGGGTAATTTTTAATTGCTATTAAGAGCTATAAGTTGGGAGATGGTACATMCGGCAGGGCTTAACTGTTGTAGACACACAGGTTACATTAGCAAAACAATGGTTCATACATGGAAAAGGAGTTATTTTCCTACCAGAACTAAATCACATTGGTGATGGACATAAGTTCTGTCTGCAAAAAGCTCACATGAAAGTGCGATGTGGGCTTTACCTGGCACAGCACRGCCAGATGTTGGCTAGAGGTACCAACACACTCACAAATGAAGCCTTATAAATACTCCCATATTCACCTCTACAAAGGACCTGCTGGACGAGGGGCCTAGCTCTACAGCAGTAAAACTGCCATGGGCCTACGTAAGGGGAGCAGGCAGAGACAAGCAYGGGGTGAGCATCTGGCCCCGGTCCCGCAGCTCGCTGGCCATAGCTTGCAGCAAGAGTGCGTGGGAGGGCACAGAGCAGCTCGCTGACGCACCGGGCTCACGCTCAGGCCCGTGCCCCCCTGCAGCAAGGAGGGGAGCCGCGTGCGTCAGCGTCCCCGTGAGTCGCCAGGCCTCGGCCCCCGCYGCGGCAGCTCGGTCACGGACTGACGGGGTGAGCGCCCACGTACCTGTAGGAAGCACAGGCTGAGCGGAGCCAAGGGAAACACAGCAAGGCAGCATGCAGGCAAAGCACAGCTGTGTGTAAACTCGGGCTGCCCTGGCTCCAAAGAACTCCACCTCTAGGCTATTCAATGGAAAAATTACATTAATTTTTCATTTTCATGAAAATGAATTTTTCATTCCTACCCTTGCAGCCTTCACATGATGCGCGTAAAGCTAAAGCAGATGCATCAGTTAAAAGATGAGAAGTAAAAGCATGTTGCGAATCAGGACTGATCAAACTCCAGCAGCCACGCTATAGCTAGCTAGCTAAATTCTGTGAGCGCTTTCGTGAATAGGGTGCTCTGCCAGTCCCGGCTGTGCAAGCTGAAGCTCATGAGGCTATTTAGTGTTCAAGGAACACAGAACAGCTTTAAAGACGAAGTTAATTTCATGATTTCTGCTAGACACAAAACCATGCTGGGAAAGTTAGTTCCTGCCAATGGTGAATTGCCAAAATGGTCACTTGAAGACACTCAACAATACTTGCAAATGAGGGAAAAGCCAGCTGTTCACTTTACAAATAGATGGAGCAGTAGGAGTTGTTAAAAGGAGTCCCACAGCAGAGTCACTTGTCCTCCCTTAAGCTACTGACGAGGGTCGCTTGAACATAACCTGAAATAACCTGGTCAGCCCTTACTGGTTGCTTTGAGGGTGTTAATGGACACGTCGCCTCCACAGGACAGGCTGTGGAACAACAAACTCTACACAACCCATAGTAACAACGAGCTAGAAACATAAGCTTTTCAAATATTTCTGAACAGGCTGTTTAGATGCATCCACAGAGCATCCTTGAAGCTCTTTATGCTTAAAAATCATTATTTGTAATCACTAATGTGATTTGGTGTTAGACTACAAAATTCTTCATCCCCTTTTCCCAGAAGTCAGCTGAAATTTTTAACGATCACCTTGAGGACTGGGTCCAGCAAAATGCTTCTGTATACAGGAGAAAACAGTTGATTTACACATACTTGATTTACACATACAGTTGATTTACACATACTGTGCAAGAATAGGCCTGCACATGGTGAATACCGGCTTCTTCCTTGTCTCAAGGCACGGCTGCTATGGGCACGTATAAAGAATGGTCTCCCTTGACGTGTGATCCCACACTGCTATTGAAATAAACGGTATGAGTAAACAGCCAAGTCAACTAATAATGCAGCATAATGGGAACTCCTGACACTGAGATTCAGGTCAATGAGTGTGAAAGGTAAATTTGACTTGGATCAAGTCTTTATTTTCCCCTCTCTTTAATGTGATTGATTTTTTTCTTTCAAGTAGCTTTATAAAGAACAATTCAAAGTTCAGAAATGTGTACACAGCACCATTATTTCTTCACAGCTATTTTTGTTATAATGGAAAATAATAACACTTTTAGACTTGATATAGTGTTTTTCATCTTCAAAGCATTTGCAAAATACTCTCTAGCTCATCTGAACCTTCCTTTAAAGTAGTTAAGGTTGATTATCATTACAATTATCATTATATTGGAGAGTTTTCAAATTATTTAAATCCACAAAAGAGTTTGATAAAATTTGTTAAATACAGGACTTCTTATGTTTTCATTCTCTGACCACAATGTTGTCTGAGCTTCTCCACAGCTCGGTTTGCACTGTGAAGAATTATCTTCTTAAGGACAATTTTTTTTTCTACAGATACTTAACTAACATACCTACGTATAGTTTAGGTACATACTACATCAACAGGAATGTTACGTGTTCATTTGGCCTGGACTAAACAACTCTACCAAATCCGTTCAGTAGCTGCAGGGACTTTAAATTGCCAGACCTTGCAGTCAAAACTTTTTACAAGGCCAGAGTTTTCAGTTATTTGCTATGTATGCACTTACCATGTCTCTCTCATGAAACAACTGCCAATGAGCCACAACAACGGCAAAAGAGAGAAAATGAAGACTCAAATTCACTGCATATTTCTCTCATTTTTATTAAACTGAAATTAAACATCACTGGATGACCTTAATTTTTGTTCAAATAAATAGATTTACATTCCATCATTTACAACATGAAATAAAAAGTATGCCCTCTGGGAAACTGCAAAGCTGTCGTTTTATTTCAAGGACTTCTGTCATGTCATAAACGAAAATGTAAACTGAAAACTSTACACCTCTAGTAACCTGTAACTAGTGTTGTTTTATGTATGTGTATATCCATCTTGAAATCAATATTTTTTTCTTTTTGACTGCCTGCTTCTAATTTTACCTGAATGTTGGAGAAAAATGATTATTCTTCAAAACACAGATAATGATAGCAGCAGCAGCCCACAGTGATAAATGCTAGCTTAAAAACTTCCACATTAGTTTATTGATAAGTGCCTCTGAACCAGATTCCACCTTTTAGTTCTATGACTTTGTGAAGTATTCAAAAATGACTTACCAAAAGGACATTGTCATCAAGAAAGCAAGCATTTTAAAATGTTTATTTCACAAAGCAGTAATTCTTACCCGTTACAGAACACTTGGATCCTTTCAAAGGCTTCAATACATATGTGGTTAGGTCATCATCCTGCCAGCTAGGTTACCAGCTGGCATGGATGATGGGACTTCTCTGGCTGCTGGCTTACAACCACATGAGTTCAAAAATAAATGCAAAACTGATACAGGTTTTTATTATTGGGTCTTTTTACTGCTAAAATGAAATAAGAATCATATTAAATTTGAAAATGTACTTAGCTTGTCTGCAAGAATTCAACATTTCTAGTCCTTCTGGTTTTGAGTATGAATGTGGTTCATCTCACATTCATACAGTAGTAAATACTATCTGAATGTGCCAAAACTGTGGATTAGGTAAGCTGTCTTCTAAAAATGCATGTAGTAAAGTTTCCTTTGAATTTTCTGCACAAAATTTCCCAGTCTAAAGTATTTCTGTCATTACTAATTCACAGTAAGGAGTGTCTTTTGATCATTTTTTTTCTGTGATCTGATTTACATATGAAATACCTAGATACGGAATATGCAAACGCTTACATAGACTTATACGTGTGTGTATATAGAGACAGGTGGTTTATAAAAGTTTACAGAAAGCTTTAGGCTCCTTAGGAAGGTCAGTCCAGGAACCCGAGGCAGTTAATAACCCCCCACGTCCCTAACGGCGCCCTACATCCCCAAAGATCCCCCGCATCTCCAACGCTCCCTTGCGTCCCCAACGGTCCCCCGTGCCTCGCGCGCCCAACGGCTAACGGTCACCCGCGCGCCCAACGGCTGCCGCTGCCGCCCGTCGCTCCGGGGCGCCCCGCGCGGCCCGCGCCGCTCGGCCGCCCGCAGGGACGGCCCTTGCTGGGCGGGCTGGCAGCGGCCGACGCCGCCCCGCGCTGCTCCCGCTTCCGACCCCGCTGTTAAAATGGCCGCTGCCGCGGCGGTGAAGGTAAGGCTCGGCCGCCCGCAGGGACGGCCCTTGCTGGGCGGGCTGGCAGCGGCCGACACCGCCCCGCGCTGCTCCCGCTTCCGACCCCGCTGTTAAAATGGCCGCTGCCGCGGCGGTGAAGGTAAGGTTGGACCGCGACCAAGAGCCGTGCAAGGGGCCGAGGCGCTGCGGGGGCGGCGTCCGCTACCGCCGCCTCCGATCCCAGCCCGGGGCGGGCGGCGGGAGAGGGAGGGCGGCGCGGCTCGCCGCGTGCCGAGCGCGGCGCTTTGCCTTCGCTTCCCCGCGTTTCCCTTCCCGTSTTTTTCCCCGCGCCGCCTCCGGGCCCGCCCCGCGGCGGCGCTGCCCTCTCTGAGGCGCCGCGGGCGGGAAGAGCCTCCCCTCCGCTGGGCCGGCGCCGCGGCGCGGCCGCCATGTCGGTGCGCGCGTGGGCCGCCATGCCGCAGCCATGCGGCCATGCGGCGCGGCCATGCGGCGGGGCGGCCCGCGGGGCCCTGCTGCTCTGCCGCGAAACCCGCCGCAGCGACCGGACCCGCCGCCCTSAGGTCACTCCGCTTGCGTGATCAAGTCAACAAGAATTTGGCAATCCCAATTTTTTTTAAGTTAAAAAGCACATGCTGAGTCATGGCTGAGCAGACCAAGTATGCTCAAATTCTGGTTTTGTAAACTTTCAGCTGAAAGTTGATTACACTTTGCTTTTTGTGCCCTCCTGAGTAAAAGCTTTTTTAATGACATGGTCTCCCTCTTTCTGTTATTCACGAATAAAAGGGAAGAATGCAGCACAAAGACTTGAGATAATTCTGACTGTTCTGTTTTTGTGAGTGTTTAGTGATGCAGCTCAAGTGTGAACTCAGAATTGTGTCTTGTACTTGACAACAGCAGGTRAAGAAAGGAATAAACTTAGATGTGAATAGTACTTAGACTTCCACAGGATAAAGTTTAATATTTTCTTTTTCAGAATGTGATAATTATCAGACTGGTTTAGATTTGTTCCCCATGGCAGCATTTAAGATGCACCGTATTAATGATGGCAACCTTAGTTCCACAACCTCCTGTCTTCACTTAACCCATATTCCTGATTACCTGTAAAAATCAGTGGAGTTTGTAGCCCAGATGCAACCTCTCGTGCCCCTTGTGGGATGCTTGGGGATGGAACACAAAGCCCTGCATCTTACTGGCATGAGGTCTCTCTGAGACATCATTTTTCTTTGCTTGTTGAGGGAGGATGAGGCTCTTTCCCTGGTCAGCCTCTCCTTGCCTTCAAAGCCTGTGCTGCTCTGTGGGGGCAGACCTCAGTCCTCTTGGCAGGATATCGCCACCCTGGCTCTCGAGCAACTCTTCATTTTGATAATTCACTAGAAGGTCTATAAAGCAGAGTTTACTATAGAATTGGATTTTCTAGGACTCCAGCCTGCAGGTTCAGCTGATGTTACTGAGGATCAGGTAAGTAAGCAGGAGGAAAACTAATCAGGCTCTTGTACAGAAAAAGTATCGTGGCTGTTGCTGCCACCTCCAGGCGTAGTGTAGGCGAAGTGTAGACTTCCCAGTCTGGAGAAGCAATTGCATAAATGAGTGAATCAGTGCTTGTCAGGCTTTTCTTCCAGTGGAGTTCTTCCCTTGTTAATTATAGCAAGCCTGACATTTCTGTACTCATCAGTACCATTCCCTGTGCACAGTCAGTGTTGCCTAAAGTGGCCTGAAGGCTGAGCAGGCTGCAGGTGAGGTGCTTTACAGGAAGGGGAAAATGAAAAAAAAATGGGGTGCTATTTTAGCAGTTGGATTCTAGCTTTTATTCTGATGTTATAGGTTCTGTCCTGGGGGATGTGAATACTTTGCAAGCCCATTGCTGGTATTTCAGACAGCAAAACTTTTAGCATAGCTTTGAGACAAGAGAAAAAGTGACAAATACCCATTGCATGCTTCGGTAGAATTTTCAGGACAAATCATTGTTCATCCTAAAATTTACAGAGTCTTCACGTGTTTTTTCACAGGCAGTCTATGAATAGTTGTGATAAATAAGCAGCACAAGGAACAACAGGCAGATCCATCAGTACCACTGAAGAAAAAAAGTAGTTCTCAAAGTCTTATGCAGTGCTTGAATAAGTTCAGGATTCGGTATATGAAACTGGTGCTTTTCTTTGCAGTACTCCTGATGCACCACAGGGGGGTAGCAAAAGGAAACAGGATATCAGTTAAAACTTCCTCAGTGTATGGCACTTCAGTAACTCTGCTGTGGAAAGCTTTCCCATAGAGCAGTATTTGGCTTGAGAATAAGGCCACACATCCTCTACGCATTGAGACTAGGTGTTCARTGAGCCGACTGAAATATATCAGTGGAACCAATGAAGTCTTTATGAAAGTGAAACCTAAGAGGCAGTATAAGGAATGTGGGGAGGGAGTTACGTTTTTAATTTTTTTCTTGCAATATATTTTTTTTATAAAAGTAAAAATCTTTAACCATGTGATGGCACCTTATGTCAAAACAGCTTCAGAAGTGAAACCAAACCATAAATTATTTCGTTTAATATGGAGACATTTTCTCAACAGATAGTTGCACTGAAAAAAAAAACAGTAGCGTTTTCCATGTGTGTGATGAATGATAATATTGTTTTTACATGTCATTTTGAAGCTTGGGATTGTAAAAGGTGAAAGAGATAGAAGTATACAGAAGTCCATAGAAAGTTTTGTATTGACTTACTGAAGATGGAAAAGACATTTTGTAGAAAGACAAAAGCAATATGTTTTCCCGTAGAAACAAGAAAATTCAGGTTTTTTGTTTTGTTTTGTTTTTCTGGAATATGAAGTCATAAGTAAGCTTAGATGCAGTGAGAATATGATTGATTCTTTTTTTTCAGAAGAACTAAAACAGGTCAGCCATGAGCAAGAACAAGAAATCAGTAATTACTAAAGCATGACAAATTCGTGGTATTTGTGGTTCACTTGATGGTTAGACTGTGTGAGTTGTATCAAAGCATACTGTAGGTCTTTTAGCCTAGTTTTCTAAGTAAATAAGATACATGCAATTAAACTGGCTTTTTGCTTGGCCCTCTGCTTTTCCTTTTTTTTTTTTTTTTTTTTTTTTTTTTTTTCCCCCCCTGCTTTGAAACTGTTGGTCAGTTTCATAAACATTTGAAAGAGAAGTAGTTACCAGGAAAGACTTCCTAAAAAGTAGCAGAAGCAAGAATCCATTCATGTTCCCACTTTGCTTATGTGTTGAACAAAATCTGAAGTTATATCTAACGCAGGAGAAAATTAATGGTACTAGTGCAGATAGAGCACTTGTACCTTCTTACAAGAGAACCTATCTGCAATACTGACAAGAAAGCTTGCAATGCTTACAGCACTTCTCAGCAGATTCCTTTGATTTGTGCGTGCAAAGATACCACTGAACTGTCTCCATATCAGACACTTGTGTGAATGTTTCTCACTAGTTAGAGAGGTATTCCCAAACAGCACTCATTACTTTTATACTGGGAATGTGATGAATTGGCAGTTACTGGTACCTTTTCTGTGTGCTTTAAAATTTGGTGTGCTTAAAGAGAATTGTAGTGCTAATGTGAAGTAAAACATTAAATTAAGTATGACAATTTAAAATGGCATATGGCTTTCTTTTCTCAGAAACACTCCTAGGTTTATGGTAAATGTAGTGGGAAATGTGAGGGTTGGGGGCAGTCTGGGCTGCAGTGACTACAAGATGTTAGAATTCACGATCCTGCGTGGAGGAARCTGAGCAAGAAGTAGGATAGCTACCCTGGACTTCAAGAGAGACAACTTTGACCTCTTCAGGGAGCGCCTTGGAGCAGTCCCCTGGGTCAGGGTCCTAGAAGGAAAGAGAGTCCAGGAGAGCTGGCTCTTATTCAAGCGCCACTTCCTGCAAGCTCAGGATCAGTGCATTCCCACAAGAAAGAAGTCGAGTAATGGGGACAGAAGACCTGTCTGGATGGGTAAGGAACTGCTAGGCAAAGTGAATGAGAATAAAAGAGTGTACAGCTTGTGGAAGAAGGGACAGGCCACGTGGGAAGAATACAGGCACATCGTCAGAGAATGCAGATACGAAATGAGGAAGGCCAAAGCCCGGGTGGAATTAGAGTTGGCGAGGCATGTCAGGGACAACAGGAAGGGTTTCTGTAAGTATGTCAACAGCAACTGGAAGATGAGGGAAAATGTTAGTGCACTGCTGAATGGGGAAGGGTCCTTGGAGGCCCCTCTCGGAGGATGCTGAGAAGGCAGAGTTACTAAATGCCTTCTTTGCCTCTCTTTACTGCTAAGGCCACTCCCCGTGAACTGCAGGGTTCAAGTAGAAGAGATGTAAATGGGCTAGAGGAAGACCTTCTGCGGGTTGAGAAGGATTGGGTTAGGGATCACTTAGGCAAACTGGCCACTCAAAAATCTATGGGCCCAGATGGGATGCACCCAAGAGTGCTGAGGAATTGGCCGAGGTTATTGCTCARCCTCTCTCCATCATCTTCGAGAGGTCCTGGAGAGCAGGGGAGGTGCCCGAGGACTGGAAGAGAGCCAACGTCACTCCAGTCTTCAAAAAGGGCAAGAGGGAGGAGCCGGGCAATTACAGGCCDGTCAGCCTCACCTCTGTCCCTGGAAAGGTGATGGAGCGGTTCATCCTAGAGAGAATCTCCAGGCATATGAAGGAGAAGAAGGTGTTGAAGAGCAGCCAGCATGGATTCACCAAGGGGAAGTCATGTCTGACGAACCTCATAGCCTTCTATGATGGGATGACAGGCTGGCTGGACGAGGGGAGAGCCGTGGATGTTGTCTACCTTGACTTCAGCAAGGCTTTTGACACTGTCTCCCATAACATCCTCATACGGAAGCTCTGGGACAGTGGACTAGACGAGTGCACGGTGCGGTGGATCGAGGGCTGGYTGGATGGCAGAGCTCAGAGGGTGGTCATAAATGGGGCYGAGTCCAGTTGGAGGCCTGTGGCCAGTGGTGTCCCCCAGGGGTCAGTGCTGGRCCYRGTGYTGTTCAACTTGTTCACATGGACGAGGGCACAGAGTGCACCCTGAGCAAGTTTGTGGACGACACCAAGCTGGATGGAGTGGCCGACACTCCRGAGGGCTGCGCTGCCATTCAGAGGGATCTGGACAGGCTGGAGAGTTGGGCAGAGAGGAACCTGCTGGGGTTCAATAAGGACAAGTGCAGGGTCCTGCACCTGGGGAGGAATAACCCCAGGCATCAGTACAGATTAGGGGCTGACCTGCTGGAGAGCACCTCCACGGAGAGGGACCTGGGAGTCCTGGTGGACACCAAGTTAGCCAGGAGGCAGCAGTGCCCTCGTGGCCAAGAAGGCCAATGGGCTCCTGGCTGCATGAGGAGGATGTTGGCAGCAGGGGCAGGGAGGGGATCCTGCCCCTCTGCTCAGCTCTGGGGAGGCCAAACCTGGAGCACTGGGGGCAGCTCTGGGCTCCCCAGGACAGGAGGGATGTGGAGCTTCTAGAGAGGGTCCAGCGGAGAGCGACAAAGATGATTAAGGGACTGGAGCATCTCTCATATGAGGAGAGATAAGGGAGCTGGGCCTGTTTAGTACCTGAAGGGAGAATGTAGGGAGGAAGGGGGCAAACTTTTTTTGATGGTGGCCAGTGACAGGACAAGGGGTAATGAGTACAAGTTGCAACACAGGCATATGTGGAAGAACTTCTTCCCTGTGAGGGTGATGGAGCCCTGGCACAGGCTGCCCAGGGAGGCTGTGGAGTCTCCTTCTCTGGAGATCTTCCCAACCCGCCTGGATGCCRCCCTGTGCCCCGTGTTCTGGGTGTGCCTGCTTGAGCAGGAAGATTGGACTAGATGATCTCTAGAGGTCCCTTCCAACCTTGAATATTCTGTGATTCTGTGATTCTATGTTGATCAGTAGTCTAAATGCATAACAAGTAGAAATCATATGTTGTTACTGCCTAGTTATTTTTTCACTTAGTTGTTAAGTGGATTTTAATCTCAAGAGATCTAATATACTTTTTTTTTTCATTTAAGATTGGAATTATTGGTGGAACTGGCCTGGATGATCCAGATATTTTAGAAGGAAGAACAGAAAAATATGTTGATACTCCATATGGCAAGGTCTGTATAATCTGTTTTTATTACTAAAGCTTTCTGTGTTTTTAAAGACATTTTTGCCCTTCAAGAATTTGCAGGCAAGTCTTTTGTATTAAATTGACATGCGCAAGACTATTTCTCTTTTATTGATGCTCATTTTCTGCTTGCCTGTTTGTGAAACAAGGTCTAATGAGTGATGAAGTGCCAAAGAGACTGTAGTTCGCTTCCTTTTTACATTGGGTGTAAAAAGTCTAAGGTGGAATAAGTCACTCTTTCAAACTGGTGCTATTCAATAGCCTGCAATATATGTCAAACTGTTCTGGGAGACTTTTTACGTGACAGAAAACTTTACATATCCATGTACATATCCAAACTTTACATATCTCTTTACATATCCATGTATGTAAAGTTGTACCTGTAAATGAATCATTTGAAAATGATTTGAAGATGAAGCCCAGTGGCTGTTTATGTGGCACAGGTGTTCTTGATCAGCTCTTCTTCACATTATTTCAGCCTTCTTCCTTGGCAAAAGGGCATAGAGACTAGATTTATGTGCTCTAAACACTGTGCCTAATGTGCAGTGAAAAACAAATTCTCCTTCAGAAAGCCTGCAGTAGGAACATGAACAAGATAAAGATGGTTCTATAGGTGGGAAATCGAAGTGGAGACAGGTTCTATTTAACACAGAATATTTATAGGAGAACTTGGATCTCGGATATTATGTCGTGTCATAAAGCCAGAAGAGGACGAGTCCTTTAGAATTACTATCTGAATAATGGAAATCTGGAAAATTTTAAGGAAAAAAATAATACAAAAATGTATGCATTTCTTTTTATGAGTCCTCCTATGATCTTTCGGATTACATTGATAATTTTAATGGAAGTATAGCAAATCACCTTTATTTAAAAAAAAAAAGACATTCTTTTCTCTCTCTCCTTCCACCATTTACATTCTACCAAAAATTGGGATGAAGAGTCAATATTCAGTGGAAAATAAACAAAATGCTTTTGGTATTCAATCTCCAAAACTGTAAAATATTGTTTCTTCTGCAGGAGAGGGAAGTTGCTTGCAAGAGCATTTATCATCGTCATGGAATATTGAAGCTGCTAATAAAACTTAATATGTTTAGAATCTAATTTTGATTAGATATTTTATTTTCTGGCAAGCAGAACCAGGTTCTGATATTCCTTTCCCCAAATCAGCAAAATCTTTATATTCTAGAAAATTCTAGTAAGACCTATTTAATATCTGTTTTAGTCATACCTTTAGGTAACAAACAAAGCTTTTTTTAACCCTCTGCATAAACAATGTTTAATTTTTATGTTACAAGCAAAAAGGATATTTGTTTATTGTTATCATACTTGATTCTTTGTTTCACTGTCCATTTTGCAACATTGAGTCATAAGATCTGTCTTGGCACATCTGATTCAAAGTTGTGTACATAAAATAAGGCAAATAGATTAAACATTTAAATGTCAACAGTAAAATGGAGATTTTACAAAAAAAAAAAAATCACAATATATAGTTCTAAAAGTAAATTCCCTGGAAGGTATATGTAAAATCTGTCTAGCAGTATTTAAACTTGCCCAGTTGAGTAATTATAATGCTTGAAAGACACACCACATTAAAAACTACCAAAAAAGAACTCTTGCATTGGTTAGTGGAAAGTGATAAAATGCACCTGTAGTGGGCTCAAGTCTCACTTCAGTTATTCCAAATTTCTGCAAATTTTAATATGCCTAATGAAAGTTACAGTTGCAAAATTAAATAACAACCGAAAGCTTGTAGTTAGCAGTAAAATACAAATAAAACTATATCAAGCAGCAAATACAAATAAAACTATATCAAGCAAATAAAACTATATCAAGCAGCAAAGGAATGAGACCTTTCTAAATGTGAATGTGTGAGTCTTTCCGGTCACTTGCAAATTTACTTGGTATGGAAGGAGTGACTGGCACAGAAATGGCTTCAGACTGTCACAAAGTTTGTTCTGCACTGAAATAAGTAGTGATATGCTTGCCTTCTGATTTGGGCAGGAGAAGCAATATATCCAGCTGCAGCAGTGTTCAGCACCAGCACAGCTCAGCATTTCTTAAAGAGGACTTGCATTTCTTTAACACTAAGTTTTGAAGACAAAAAGCTAGAGGCATTATATATTTCATATCCCTTATATGTTTACCTCAGGAACAAAATACAGCCAACAAAACAGTATCTATGGTCTCAAGGCATTTGATGACTTTGTAATTGCCACGCAGGCCACAGACTGTACACGCCTTAATGTATCCATCCTCCAAGTCAGAGCATATCTCCCAACATAGCAGCTGAAGGCTCGATGCCCTTGCTCCAGGCTGATTAATTATGCAGGTCTGCAGGAGCAATGCATGTGCTCATATAAGAGGAGTGTGCAGGCTGCCTTCCCATTCTGGGGCTGGCCAAATACCACTCTGCTTCTGCAGCTGGTTGCTCCCTGTCATATCAGAGGGCTCACACTGCCAAAACAATAAAAGTGAGGTTTCCATCTGCAGCAAAAAATGGAGTTTATCAGGAAGTGCTAGGTGGACAAGCAAAAGGTTAATTTGGAAGGGGTCTGGAACATGAGTTGTGGTAGAAAGGGGATGTGGAAGTGGATGGGAAATGCTAAGGGAATAGACATGATATATTGGTCATGGGGACTTTCAGTAAGGAATGACACCTATCTTGCAAGAAACAACTAAAATTAACTGCAGAGAATGAGACATGCTAAATTATTTAAAGGTAATGTGTGCATGTTTTTGTTTTCATGTTCATGTAGCATTATTGGAAATACTATTTTAAGTTGAAGTTTGCAGTTTTAAAGCTAATGAACATAGCTAAATTGTGATCATCATTTTTGTGTCAAGTAAATAATGTACTGGTTTCAGACTCTCTCATTAATCTGCCGCATCACATCACAGGTTTCTTCTAAGATGAATAAAATGTTGAGATTATAGTGGTAACCAGTATTTTCTTTCAGAATATAATGTGTATTTATATGTAGCTGTTAAGGTTTCCAGCATGCCTAAGGCTTGTAACTCATTGTTTGTTTGTTTTGCAGCCATCAGATGCTTTGATATTGGGAAAGATAAAAAATGTGGACTGTGTGCTGTTGGCAAGGTAAATAAATATTTTAAGGAATAATTTTTTTATATATATTTGTAACTTTATGTCACGGGAAAAAATATTTTTCTCAAAAGCGTTTTCTTTTTACACTAAGTGGTTTATTTTTTTTACTCTGATATCTTGTTCTGTGTGGTTTATGGCAAAGAACAGTGAAATATTCTGGAATACTACCTGAACAAATTTAGTACTCCAGGGACGGACAGTATTAGCTATACCATCTAGGTTTGGAAAGGAAAAAATACATTGAAGGATGTTGCTATGGTAGGAGTGGCAGTCCACAAGTTTGCCTGTTCCAGTCGCAGATAGGTGGCACTTGATAAACTCAGTAATCTGCCTGCATACTTTGATGGCTAATTTCTATTGTGAAACTTGAAAAATGTCAGTTTTCACATTAACTTTACATACAGCACCAGTGTAGCCACTTTCATTTCTGTTTGATTAGTTAGGCTTTTGGCTGCTACTCTTATCACTTAGAAGTCTGCATGTCTTAAAATGTAACTGTGTAATTTCTTTAATTCAGCTTCACTGGGTGATCTGTGTTCAGRTATCTCTAACTGTGTGCTGAAGAGACAATTCCAATCAGGATTTGCAAGAGAGTGCATGAAAATTTCATACTGGCTAATGGAACAGGAGGTGTCTAGGACTGTTGTGCTTCTAGACTAAATAAGAGAATGCTCACCATATCTGAAAGGTCATTTCATGAGTTATTAAGCAATCATTATATCAGGCAGTCAGCAGCTAGGTAGGGAACGATTAGCCACTACAGCAGCCTTAAACAGACTGATATTTGTATWTTATAGTTGCCACCATATGATGATTCTGTGTTTTATCCTTTTTTTTTTTATAACGTTTTATAACATTTTGTGTGGGCACAGGGAGGACTGCTCGAGTTGGAAAGATGAGCTAGGAGCTGAAGGTAACCATAGCTCCGGCAGTGCCATCACAAGCCAGGGCATAGCTCACAGCATCTGCATATTATAGGCTATCCAGATAGGTGATGGTGAGAGGGATAATGACAGTTCCAGACAAGCCAAACTGATGACATAACAGGTTCAAGATCCATCCAAGGAGTCTAAGCAGGAACAGAAGAACACAGGGTCAGAGAAGAGGCTGTAAAGTCATGCTCTTTTCAGTAGACAGGACTGGAGTGGGCCTGGAGATGAGTCCCCAGGCATAATTCTGAAGGCCATCCAGGAACAGGGCTGGCCTTATTCCTGCCTGGGCTGGCATCCAGGAACAAGCACACTTTCTGAATAGCTCAGGGAGGGACTGAGGGTGCTGTCATGAGACTAAAGGTTGTTCCTGGACTCAGGGGCTTTTTGTGCTTTGGTGCAGAYACAAGGTGAGGCTGGTACTTGCTGCTGCTACACTGAGGGCTCTGTTACTTTTCATACCAGTATTTTTCCCTTAGGCTGCTGACTGCTACCACCTCCGCAACTACTCTCTGTTTTGTTTTTCTTATCTTGTATGTTCCTGGCCCATGCATTTTCTTTCTGGTAAGGAATACTTTCCTGTATTCTTTCTAGTACTGGCTCCATGCAAAGAATGTAGACCTCAAATGCAGATATATTACTGAGTCATACTATTATTGAGTTGTAGGGAGAGTTGTCATATTGAGATATATTATTGAGTCATAGGGAGAGTCGTCACAGCTTCCAACCTCTCCTACTTTGTCCTTCCAGGGTTTTTGTAGTGGGTAATGCTGTGGCATAAACTTAGTACAGCTGATGGTTCACTTAGGGTGGTGGAAAATATTGGCAACATGGAGCTCTGTTAAGGAGATTTACCTTTCTTTTTATGTGACAAAAAGAGAGATGATGATGCTTTCAAATCACTTGTCATGGTAGTCTGGGAAAACTTAAATTTGCCTGGCACCTCTGTAACTGTTGTTACAGTTCTTCTGTATCTTCCTCCATAGTCAAGTCATCACCTCTGACATCTCCTCTTCATTCTCTCACTTCAAGGCTCCCAATAAGAAAATTCCTCTGAGAATTTTCTCCTCCAGGGGGAGAAATATGTTGTTTAACTTTGGCATCTCATGCAGAAGTTTTTGCAAAGGGCCTCTGTCAGCATTTTTAGGTCAGATGATCTCAAGATAACCCTGTACAACTTAAGCATAAGAATGAAACTCGGGTGTGTCTCATCATGCTTCCTTCTGTATCTTTGTTAGTACAGAACAAGTTGCCTTAGAGGTGTGAATAGAGATTACCTAGACTTATATTGTAGTCGAGAATACCACTGTTTTTTTTTTTTTTTTATGTATGTATGTTTGACAACAGATGCAAAATCTTAACTCTCTTGTATTCTGTCATTGCTATAGCTAATCTGAGTAGTGCTGTTCTGTGTGCTCTTATCCAATGTATTTTGATACTGTCAAAGACTATATACCAGTAATTTCCAGCAGAGGGAGCAAAATGATTTCTCTGTTGATCTGGGAGAATAGAAGGGAGTCTGAGGAGTGTTCTGACATTTATGATCAGAGGAAGATAATCAGGTCAGAAGAAGTTTGAATACTTGTGTTTCTACCAGCAGTGCTGTAGGAGTGGAGAGACTGATTTTTAACAAGCCATTTCACAGAATACTGCTGATTCCTATTTTATTTTAGAAGTGTAGGGCCTTTTTACTTCATCTTTATGGTGTTAGAGGTGGAAAAAAATCACAGAATACTGCTTGACTTTCAGTTCATCATCTGATGCAATGATGATGACAGAGATAAATCGAAATGTACTTGTGTAATTGAATATTTTCTGTGCTGTTAAAAAAAAATACAAGAATACTACCATAAGATACTGTCATTATCATTTAGGAAAGTGTTGTTAGATCATTTTAAGAGCAAATAAAAAAAAATCTGCAATTGCACTGTTTTCTTTGGAAAGAGTATAGATTAAAACAGTGGGTTTTTCCTGTTTTTTGTTTCTTATGTTGTATCAGTCTTTCCTAAGCAGAAGGGCAGAAAGCAGCACTTTTGAACAGCAAATCTAGAGAGCTGATTATAAATCTGCTATAATATGTGAAAGAGTTAATATCAAGTCTGGGTTTTCAAAATCTATGAAGCTGTGAAAAATGTATTGAAAAATGTATTTTATGCCTTTAATGTGYTAAAGTGTATTTGTGTTATATTTCCCAGATTTATTTTGAATTTCAAGTTTTGGATCCTTGAATTTTCCTTCAAAATGAAAATTACAAAAGTTCATGCCAATCAATTACAAACAAAATATTGAGAGATCCATAATATATCCGGGAAAACAGGCAAATTTTAAGTTGCTGAAGTTCCTTTTCCAGTGTTTTTAGGGAGATCACATTTCCTGGAATTCTGTTTTATTTTGCACTCTTTTCACTTTTATCTCTGCAGGCATGGAAGGCATCATACAATTATGCCATCAAATGTGAATTACCGTGCCAATATCTGGGCACTAAAACAAGAGAATTGCTCCCATGTTTTAGTAACTACTGCCTGCGGTTCATTACGAGAAGAAATACAACCTGGAGATCTTGTCATGATTGACCAATTCATTGACAGGTACGTGAGCAACATCTGAACTTTTACTCTCTTGTTTTTCTTTGGGGAGGAAAAAAGAAAAAAGGGAGAATTAAATCATGCAGTAACAGTGTCCATCCCTCTTTTTATTTCTTTTTGTGTGTTTGTGTGTAATTAAGTGATAACCTCAATTCTTCTGGCAAAAAAAATACTTGTATGAGAAAATGTAATAGGTACTATGAATGAGATTGTAAGTAGTGCAATTCTAATATACATGGAAAATACCAGATGTTGAAGAATCATCTGCAATAAGGTAAAGTGCAGTACTCTTTGGAGTAGTCCTCTGGAGAGTGGGAGAGATCTCCCATCCTAATAGATTCAGGAGGAACATGAGTAAAAAGCACAGGCCACTTAACATTTTTAAGAAGAATCTGAAACACAATGGAGAGTTGCAGGAAACCACCCAGTATAAAAGGAGCAAAATAAGAAGAGATAAACAGCAATAGAGAGGCTCTGCAGAAGAATCTTCTGATGAAACACAGTAACGGAAGAAGGAAAGTTGGTTTAGAACGAGGAGAGATGCCAAACCTTGTGATTCTCTAAACGACATAAAGCTTTTCCAAAAGAAGTGCTGTTTACTGCCAACTGTTTCCCTCTCCTTGGTTGTCTAATGGTTAGAAATATCCAAGCAAACAGGAACCCTGCTACTAAAAATAACATTAAAAGTGACTCAGTTATATGAAATAATTCAACAATGTAGTTGTAAATTTTTACAAGTGGATTTAATATTRATATTATACATATGCTATATATGGAAGTCTTTTTTGGGTGTTTCATCCTTTTTTTAATATTTGAAATGGTTTGCAAGTCTTCTTTCTGATTTCATTATTCATTATTCTGCTGATAATGTTTGATTGCCAATTGGCCCTGAATGTTGTATATCCAGGTTATTTTCTGCAGTACAGTTCAGGTTTTGACTTGCTTACTTACTTACTTTTTTTTTTCTATAAACCGAATGTTTTTCTTGTAAAAGTGTACTATCTGAATAGAGGTATCTAAATGAGTAAGCACCATACAGGAACAAGCCCCATATAAACTGCTTCCTGTCTTGGTTGGTTATACTAGACTTGATTTGTGGGTGGAGAGTAGATTTGCTCCTGACAGTGGTCCTTCTGTTGAAACTAAAAATACTCTGATCAATGTTTTTAGAGACTCAGTCATATTTGTCTTTATTCTGCCACCAGTATTTGTAAATTAGTAATTTTATTAACAATTGCATTCTGTGGGAGAAAGAAATATAATAAAAAGATTTTGATACATAATCTGAATAATTGTGTTAGTAAAATGTCAGTTATTTTGACAGTATTGTCACATGGTAGGCCCCAAGGATGATAGCATTGAAACTTAACTGTGCTAAACCATGGATTTTATGCTCGGTTAAAAAAATAGCCTCTGCCCCAACAGTCTGCAGTTTTAAACAAAAAACATTTGGGATGAAAGGAGAGTTTTTATCTGCTGCAGATGCAGGGTGGAAGTTGAGAGAAAATAACTCTTGCCAAGCTCAGGCAGAAAAGCATTGACTGAGACAGGAGAAGAACATGGATGTGAAATTTGGTATCACTCATCATCTAAAATGTCAGAACTAGCAATTACTTCTGAGTGTAGTTAGTCTCCTCCCTTACCTTTACATTTCTCAGTACTTGTGATTGCATCATAACCTGTGAGCCGGAAAGGAAATAGTCAGCTGGGCTGAGTTTGGGTTTTAAGAACATGTGCCTTTCAAGGAAAAAAGAAAGAGTTGTAGAAAATACTAGTTATGTATTTATGTGAAGAGGAGTGAAGGGATAGAAAGAACAGGCAATATTTACATAATGTCTTCATTTAAAGTGTGTGCAGATGGCCAACAGGCAGCTGTGACATAGTTCATAAAAGAACAGTGATTCTTTTGTGCAAGTAAGTTCTCATTCCCACGCAGGAGAGTGGAACATGTGGGGACTCATTTCACAGCTTCACAGGAAGCCAAGCACCTTCTCAGAAAAATGTGCAAGGATATTTCAAAATGGAAAATTATAGATAATCTAAATTTTGAACTCTACTAGCTCTCCCTGTTCTTTCTAAATAGTAATTCAGAAAAATAGCAAGTCATAACAGTCAATTCCTTCATACAATTCAATTTTTATGATGCATCTTTTTTCCAATGTTTTTTGTGAGTGTGTTTTAGATAAGTATTTCAAGGTCAGGGCCTGTATGTTCCTCTTTCACATGTATACTGTCTGCAAAAGTGATTGCATTATACGTTATAAAATGTTGTCATCCAGCAGACAGTACTGCTGAGAGATGGATATTTTCATGGGACAAGTTACATGAATTGTCCACTCAAGTTTGAGGATGATGCAATTTTTCTGAAATACGTTTTAGTGCCAGATCAATGTATATAAGGTAAGGAGCCTTAAAAAAAAAAAAAAAAAAAGTGCTGGTTAACCCACAAAACCAATGAGTTGTTCAAAGATATCCTTGCTTCTGTATTGCGTTTAATCATTAAATCAGTACAGTGCTCTGTGTAGGAAAGAGGTGTGGGTCTATGTGGAAAGGATTTACTTAGGCTGACACTAAAATTAGTGCTTTGGGGGTGCCAACGTAAATTTTGTGAATCCATGCACTCTTATTCTTAGCAGGAGCATGCGTCTTAGGTATGAGGCAACAGGTAGAAACAGTGAATGAGAGTGGGAGGAGGGCTAGAACTGACGCGCCGTAGTCCTCATATTTCTCCTGAAGGGAATGTGCACTACAGCATTTATTATGTAGATCTCAAAAATGTGGAATTTTGTAGCATCTCTGTGTAGTTTATGACATATGATTTATGATCAGGCAACACAAACTATGCAAAACTAGAATCACAGCATTTAAAAACTTTTGAGAGTTTTAACTTTGCATGTATTTAGCACTACTTTCAAGTGTCTAATTTCACATATAAAGTATCTMTGTATTTAAATTACTATTCTTTACAGTTATCTATTTGTGTGTAAACATGGATGGTTMTATTTTGTTAAATAAGTACCAAAACAATTGGGTTGTATTTACCATACTCTGAGAATCTCAAGGTAACCACAGTGCCATTATAGGGAACAGCAGTTATCCCCTTCTTTGAAACAAACTGCTAGAAAAAATAATGACTGGGAGCATTGATGAGCTCCTGTAAACATATTGTGCTGTTAGTCATCTGGCTGTATCAAACTGCCTGGGAGCTTTTTATAAGTTTCTGTTTTGTTTGCTGCTGAGGTTTGCTAGGAAAATTAAACTAGTAAGATAGATTCAGCTCAGTGAACAAGATACAGAAAATGATGAATTCTATAACAGCTGCCAGCTTTGTCATTTTAATTTATTGTCATACCATTACAGTTACTGTAATATTAATACACTATGTTAGCAGAGTTCTGAAGGTGGGTGAATTTTCTTCCAGTGTCCCTGAAGGGAGAAAGATCGACAGTCTTTCAATGCAGGTGTGAATTTTCATGCAGTCCTTATATTACTACATTAACTTCTGGTATTTCAGCACTGCTGAAAGAAAGGGTAGGGTGATGCCTGTAGCAAAGGACTGTTAATCGCAGAGTGAAATGAATTTATTTGATCACTTATTTTATCTAGATTTTGTTTCCCAGCACCAGCTACAATTGTTGTGGCAAGAAAAGCTTGTAATTCTGTAAGATAATGGAATACTTGTGTAACCTTACTGTTAGACTGACAAAAAGTCTGTCTTTTGCCACGAGGAGAGAACATAGTTTCTTCAAAATTTTAGTACAGCTCGTTTCTTCAAAATTTTAGTACATGCAATTTTTAATTCACTGTAATGAAAAGTGGATAAGGGAAACACAGCAGTAGCAGAACTACGGAACAGTACAAGAGTTTACTTACAGTACAGATAAACCATCTGCTTGAGTTTAGTATACACTTTTTTTGCATAAAAGAAAGTACATGTGCACACTTCATGCTTTCCCAGAGGTATTTTTTCATCTCCACTGTGCCATCAGGATCAGGCTAGCAGACAGGCTTGGTTTCTGTGCAGATACTTAATGACTTCTCACATCTTTAAGCTTTCAGAGCAGATTCTTTTTGAACAGTGATTGTTAATCTCCACATTTCTTGTTCACTGATGATTTTGTAAAAAAAGCCATTCAGGGTACATGGAGAAGACTTCAAAACTCCTGCAACACGAGGAGTCTTCACAGGGTCTCCTATGGTTCTTTGCTGTATTGAATGGTGCAGGCAGCTCGTCAAGAACTCTGTCTCCTCCTGGTCTGAACACAAGGCAAAGAAAGCAGATGTGGATTCTGTAAGGTTCATTCTTTTGGCGACAAATAGCAGTATAGCAGTTGTGAAAAGATTAGTGCTGTTGCCTTTTACCTTGCTGACAGGCCAGCAGAACAGATCAGGGTGGCCACTCCTGACTAAAATGACAGGACTACAGAAAGGACAAGACCCAGAGGAGGAGAGTCTGGTTCAAAYCTTCCACTTAGGTCCACCCTAGGCCTAGCAGCATTCTGAAAGTAGGTGGCCACGTGTCAAATCACAGTGGCCTCTGCAAAAGTGAAACATTCTGTGAAGAAGGGAGGTGACTGCACAAGTGGGTGACTGCACGAGAAGTTATAGGTCTCATCCTTGTTTTCCAGCACAGTTTCTACTAAATATAGCAGAATTTCTTTATTAGTGCTGTGGTAATTCTCTTCAAAGAATATAGACAATTTAAAACTAGAAAGTAAGTCATAGATGAGTGATCTTTCTTCAGGACCTTTCCAAGTGAAAGCACCTAACTAACAATATGTGAAATATTGTATAGCAGGAAATGGATTATGACTTTTTCCATTTCCTTCAATTCTACGTAATTCATTAGCAGACACTTAACGTATAAAAGGATCTAGTATCAGGTGGATTTTATTTGCGGCTCTTCAGTATCCTGTGAAGGCAGAAATAATATTAGTGTTTTGGTGGATTTTATCAWCAGTTATCCCGTTATGCATATATTTTTAATTTGTCAGTTTATTTCCCTTCTTTATAATCTCATCCCAAAGGCAACAGTATTGCTACTTTTTCCAAACCTACTTTAATGTGCAACATGTATTTAAAATCTCATATAAATATTTGCTGATGACATGGATGGGGAGCTTTGTGAGCAAGTTTTGTGAGCAGAAATTTTGCTCTGTACATTTGGTTTCAATTTAGACAATTGTCAAATTGACAATTGACAATTCAGACAATTAGGCTAAATCGTGATACTGCTTAGTCCCTTACTGGGCAGATACATAATAATATAACAACTAATGAACAAATTGTCTGTTTGTAATATGATGAAGTAGCTCTGTTTTGAGTAGTTTTGTGGACTAGTCAGACTTAATTCCTTCCCTTCCTGGAAGCTCACTGCACTCTTTATTCAGAGATTACTTATACCACGATTACATTTATCTATTGTCCTTCATAAAGATTTACAGCATAATATGTCTGTTTCTGGTACTAAAGAACATGTCAGTTTTTCAGCATCTAGCCAAGAGTTGGTATTCCCTAATAAATTGGTAATATGCTACTGGAATAACAATTTTATGCTCTTGACCTCAGTTTTGGAAGGTCTACGCAGAGGCAAAACAGGATAATGAATAAAGGATAGTACATTAATATCATACCATATTTTCATTCCTTTACAGGATCACCTCTTTGACCTCTGATTTTGTCACCTTCTTTTCTCTTTGCTCCTCTCCTTCGTCTCTAAGCACATGTTCTTCTTTTCCAGGACTAATAGAAGACATTCTACATTTTATGATGGGCAGTGTTCTTCTCTTTCAGGAGTGTGTCATATTCCTATGGCAGAACCATTCTGCACAAGAACCAGAGGGGTAAATGAATTTTCTAGAAATATTTTAAAAGTTTTTTTTTTTTAAATGCCATGTTATAGCTGTGAACTGTCAGAATACAGAGGCACTCTCCACCCCTTCAGTCATATTTCACAGACACTTTATGGTGTTAAATAAAAATGTAACATTTTGAAGGCTTCAGAAGTAAGAGATCATGTGATTGTAAGAGCTATCTTCTTAAAATAAATATACAGAAGGCTCTAAGAAGGCAATTAGCATCCTCTTAGATTTTCCAGGAACTTCTTAGAAGTGCCACAGATCTCTATTTATCAGGTAGCAAGCAGTGAGAACAGCAATGTGGATATAATAAGGAGACAGAATTAAGGGATAATTTTTTTTTAATGGAATTTCACCTACTGCAGGGCACTGTACACACTTAAAATATAAAGAATTAGAAGTAATAYTAAAGCATTCACAAAAGGGTCATTATTGCATTTATGCTTTTGTGTAGTGGTTGGTCTTGGAGGAGTGAAGGCTTTATTTAAGGGATATTAAAGATGGAAAAAAGCCAGCTTACAGCAGATCTTTTGTTCTTAAATCCTATGGCTGTTTCTGTTGCTTCAAGATTTTCAGGGTTTACTAACACTTAGACTAAAAAGAGTGAAATACTGTTCTGCTTTTCAACACCTTTGTAAGCTTTGGGAGGAGCATATCTGTAATTAAATATACCATCTCAGTGAAACAGTATATCCTTATAGCTGAGCAAAAGGAAGGTGAAGATGGAATTTAGTGTTTTGTACTGTTGTGGAATGTAGGGTACAACACTCTCAAGGGACACAGGAATCTTTTAAGTAATAGTCCTATCCATCCAAAAGAACTCCTGTCTYTGCAGTTGATTGCAAGACTGAACAGGTGAAAAAGATGAATCATGAAGCACATAACAGACCCAGAGTCTGTTAAGAATGTCAGTACTCATAAGCTGTTTGGCTCCTAATGACCAGTTCATTGTTGTTGTAAATGATTTGTTTTAGTTAGCTAGACACAACATGGTTTGCTTGCAGGTGTCTGTCAGCACTGCAAGCAGAATGACATTTCAGTGCACTAGTATTCTATACTGTTTTGCCAAGTTGAGGAGGAAACAGACCACTGCATATTATATGCCTGCATTATATATGCCTGCACTTTCCTATCCTATCATTGGACAGCAAACTGTGCAAAATACCTTGTCTTTTCAATGAAACTACACAATGAATACCTCCACAGTGTTAACATGGAAGCAGATGTCATATATTACCTTGCTGATAATAAGCCTGATGCCATGTTACGATAAGTACAAAGAGCTTACCAGGTACTTGCTGTACACCTTCTGCAAAGGATTAAAAAAAGAATGTTGTTACTGAAATGATTGGCTGTTCTTCATACTAGGCGTTTCTCTCTTACTTTAAAAGAAAAAGGGGAAAAAAAAAAGGCAAGTCAAGCATAAGCCATTTCCTGAGGTTGAATGAAGCATACAAAAGCTGGTTTTCATTTGATTATTAAGTAGCTAGAGACAGAGCTCCTCAAGAATCTTTTTTTTTTTTTGTAACAGTAGCAGAGAAATGCACATTTTAAAATAGAGAACAAACATTTAGGTACTTCCCAATCTCGCATGTGATCATTATGTCATTAGCCTGTACATTCTAATCAACCCAACAGATGTTTTAAACAACATATGTTGTTGAGCTCCTGGAGGGRCTGAAACTTCCTTTCACTTCATTTGAAAGTATCAGATAAAAAACTGAATTATAACATTTTCCCTGACCTGACCCTGAAAATTGCTGTGACCATTTTAGTCTAGATTGTCTTGAAGGAAATATCATAGATAAATGCAATCAAAGCCAAAATTATTACTGTGACAGAATAACTAAGGAATTTGCATGACAAATATCTGAAAGTTCCATATTTTGTGATGTTTATGAAAATTTGCGAAGGTGTTCTATTTGATTTACACACTGTAAGTATATCTGAAAGTAGTTTATCTTTTTTTCTAGTAATCATAATTGCTTTGAATAAAATAGGCTATTTTGGTTGTTACTACTTTAAGAAAATAGAGCCCGCTGGAACATTTTATAGGGAGTAAAGCTGAGCTTTTGTAAATATGACAGGACGATCAGGCTCAGCCCATAAGCRTTCATCAGGTGGGTATTTAAGACATGTATTGTTTTATTAGTAATAAGGAATTGACTGGCAATTGATAGATTACACACTGAGAATTTGTATCAGTAAAAAAACACATTAGGCACTTGCTAACATTCTATAAACACCTACAAATTTCTAAACATCTTATTAAAATTAACTCTGAAAAGTTCAGATTTCTCACCACCATGTGTGTTGTTGCACAGCTGCGTGCACAAATGCTGTTGCCCAATGTGGGTGGGTTAGGAGAACACCCACCTGCTCTSAGGAGCGCAGGTTTACCCATTTACAGACGTCTGTGGGAAATGTCGGTGCTACAGCATCATAGGTAGCTGTGCTGTTGCTTACAATCCACTGATGCCCACAAGATCACATAGGACACCCAAGGCTTGGTCATTACTTGCTGCACTCTATGTTGTACCTAGTAGCTGAAGCACTGCTTCCTGCAGTGTTTGATGGCAAGGCTGCTGCAGCAGGACCAGGTGGAGTTCATGGTGCTGGCAAGGCAATTTTTGGCAGTGTCAGAATAGGTTTTGACTGTGCTTATGCTACCAAGGTCTCTACTGCTACGAATTTTCATGCTTCTTTTATACTGTTTTTCATGTGGAGTACTTCTCAAACATGTCTTAGCAGTCCTGTCATTACTGTGAAGCCAGCTGATGGTCACCTTAAGCAGTTGTCATCATTGTTACTTCCCTTTTCCTTGCTACCGTTTTTGGGGATATTACCTTCTCAGAGCAGTATTGTGTTCACACACACCATTACTAATTGTATTCCTACTGTATCAACTGTTAAGACCAAAGCTGTTTACCAAGAGAAGACACAATGATTCACTCAGATGCATAGTCCTGGTTGGGACTGAATGGAGTAATACCAAACAGCTGGTATGTGTAAAGTATATGCTTAGTTGCTGATAACAAGGAGATAATATTTTGTCCTGGCTGACAAGGAGATAATATTTTTTCTTAAAAAAWATCCAAAATACTTTTTCAAGCATATACTTGTAAAGTTTTCAATCTAGTAGACTTTCAGAAGCTAAATTTCCCACTTTGTGCCCACGTAGTGTTTGGTGATGCTTACATCTAGTAAATTACTCTTAATGTAAGTAAAGTCAAAATGTACTCACTGCTTGCTTTTCAGTCTCCTCTGAAAGCTGAAAATAGTAATCCAAATGAACAAAATAAGATGAATTTGACATCATTTCTACTAGAAACTATTTAATTCTTTTATTGGATCAGGAAATTGAAACTTTTTTATTTTTGGACAGCTATAGACATGCAGCCTAACTGATAAGTATAAGGTTAAATTTTCTACAGGAAAAAGCTTTTTTTTTTTTTTTTTTTTTTTTTTTGGTGGGATGCAAAAGCAATGCATTAGGCAAGGAGGATTAATTACTTCTTAATTCTGTAGCAGTAAGGGAAAATGATTTGCTTTTATTGACCTTAACATGTTTTGTAGGTTCTTATTGAGATTGCCAAGAAGCTTGGTCTTCCATGTCATTCCAAGGGAACAATGATCACAATTGAAGGCCCACGTTTCAGTTCTCGAGCAGAAAGCCTGATGTTTCGCAGCTGGGGAGCTGATGTCATCAACATGACCACAGTTCCTGAGGTGATTCTTGCGAAAGAAGCTGGACTGAGTTATGCAAGTATTGCTATGGCAACAGATTACGACTGCTGGAAAGAGCATGAAGAAGCAGTAAGTGAAACTGGCTATTTCTCTGAGTCTTGTTTGGAGGGATCTGGATGAKAACCTGTAACTGTCTGTGGAGATCATGTGTTAGACTAAACCTAGCCTTGCATAGACCAGTATTGCATAGACCAGTATCACTGAATTACTCTGGATTAACAATTATGAAAGCACGAACAAAATCAGACATTGCTACCTCATTAATTTTTACAAACTGTTCTAGTTATATTGTTTGGCAGCTTTGTGGAAGCATATACCTTTTCTAGTTCTTTTTCTTTTTCTTTTTCTTTTTCTTTTTCTTTTTCTTTTTCTTTTTCTTTTTCTTTTTCTTTTTCTTTTTCTTTTTTTCTCATGAAATACATATTAGTAGCAGAATATTTATGAAAGTTGCCAATTAAATCTTAGTCATAGGAAACGGCAAGGCAGTTTTGGCACTTGAGACAATGGAGGCAGGCAGCTGCTTAAAACGCTGAATTGCCTAAGTAACTTTATAAAACTCTCACCTCATAGTTTTTAGGGTATTTGTCAAAAGTTTTCCACCTGTAGCATCCCTGTATGGTATTATTTAATTAGCCTTCAATTAGTCAGATATCGTCTCAAACTTTCCTCTAATTTTTTACATTACAGGTTTGTCTGTTAGAGCACTGATTTAAAGTAAGAGCACTGATTTAAAGTAAAAACACAGATAAATAGTACAAGTGACAAGAATTGTTTTGGGACCTGCTCAGACCATAAATTACTTGGATATTATGGAAATGTGTTTTACCAGATACAGCATGGCTCTATTATTATTTATTATTCTCCAGCTGAATTTTTGAATATCCAATATAAAAAAAGAGTTAATCCTCTAAATATTCATTAGTTTACAAGAAAGCAAAGTGAGCAAGAAGTGTCTCTTTAAAACTAATCCACATATGTCTGCACTGTCACGGTATTAAAGGGCCCCATGTGGCATTTTATGTAAACCTATCTGTGCCTCATTGAGAGCAGCACGGGGGATTTCTTTGCAATTAAAATTCTGAATAAATTTGATCAGCATTTCCAAGAATATTTTTTATGTTTAGTCAGCTCTTGATTTTTTTCAGCATATCCATTTGTGTTTGGTTTTGTTTCTTCTTATTATTATGTAATGTATGCATATTGCTAGACATGATATCTCTTAAACAGTGACTTCTCTTCTAATGTGTGCAGATGAAAAGTTCTATGGAGATTTTTTTGAAAACAAATTTACAGAATTGGACTCTAGCAATAAAATGTAACCAAACACACAACCAGAAAAGATTTTTTAAAAAAAAAAAGGTTTTTACTAGAAAAAAAAAAGTGATAGTTTAAAATACCCACTTGTTTTGTTTATACTTCAACTTTGCATTTACAGCTAGGTCCGTGATGTACATTTCATTGGGGATTTAAAACATGGGTCATCAAATTTGAGATACACTGCAGTTTTCTTGTATTTTTAGGTTTCAGTGGATAAGGTTTTAAAGACGTTGAAAGAGAATGCAAATAAGGCTACTAGCATACTGCTTACTGCTATACCTCAGATAGCTTCCATGGAGTGGTCAGACACCCTGCACATCCTGAAAGTAAGTATATGAGCATGACTAGTATTGAGGGAAAGTATATGTATGTACATAGTATAGGCAGGTGTTTCAAGATGTTTCTACTTAAAATGTAACTTTTTAGAGTATACTGTATGTGTTAAAAAATCCACCATAATTCAAGATGGGCAAAAAAAAAAAATCATTAATGGCCTTAAAAGCTTCATTGCAGAGATCAAGCCTCAATATTACACCTACTCCAAAAAAGCTACTCCAAATACACAACACGTCTGTATTATGGGTAATGAACTGATAACTGAAACAGTAACATATTCCTCTTTTCAGTCTTAGCCTGTGTTTTAAAACAATGTAGAGCCAAATGGAGAAGACTAAAAGACAAAAACGTTGTGCTCCTTTGAATGTATGGTAGTTGAAGAACTATTTGCAAGTTACTGATATTAATCAGTTTAAATTTTTTTAGAATTGTGTTCTCTTGGTCACTTTCAGACCTGAGGTCCCTGAAAAAAAAATGGGAAGAAAAAATTCCTACCAAGTATCTTCATGAGGGAACTTTTCAGCAGGTTTTTTTCGGAGACAGAGTTTGTGTATGTGTTTTATATCACCTCTGTTTCACAGGAATGCCTGAGATTCCTTTTCACCAGTAGTGTAGAGGAAAAGAACAATGTTAAATAGTTTGGATCTCTATCCCACTTCTTTCCGAGCTTTCTGCTGCAAGTAGCCACTACCAAGAGGACAATAACAGGCAGAGTCAAAGGAACTAATGATGTCATTGGGTTTGTTCAGCAAAGGCAAAAGCAAGGAGAAAGAGAATTGTAATGTGAGGGACAGAAATCAGACAAAAGTCGTCCACAAAGAGCTATGTGAGTAGAAGAATGTTCTTAGTCTACAAAGGAGGAAGAAAACTGAGAAAAAAAAGAATATCTGATGACTGTCTTCACTCACAGGTTCCTTCTTTATCCTTTTCTTTATAAAAGATGTTGAAAAACACTTTCTTTACTGAAGCTTGAGTGATTAGGAAAGATGAAGAAAGACATAAGTTATATCATCAGTTATATACCTGAAAATATGTCCCTGAATTTATTTGTATCTTTGGATTTTGATCACATTTTCCATATTATTTATGGTATGATTCTCTTATAAGTGACTCTTGTCTCATCCAATTTAGACAATAATCCAAGAAATGTACAGAAATCCAAGAAGCATTATGGAAAGATCACCGCAAATCAGTTTAAGTAGCTTTGAACTTGAACAGGTCATGGGTTTCCARTCAAAATCCTTGAAATATGTCTTTCCTGATCTTTCTTTAGAAAACCTACTTTTCTTAGGAAAACCTTGGATTGCATGTTYATCACCCTTCCTCACACAGTTGTCTGGAACAGCAATTAGTTGTTTTTAGTCCMCACTGCTATTATTTGGGAGAGACAGATGGCTTTGCAGTCTTTACCTGAAGGTGAGACATGAACAAATAAAGGAGACAGCAGAGTCATATTCTTTCTGTAATCTCCAGAAAATATTTTTCAGAGGCCTGGGCCACACCTTATATTTAAAACAGATGCCTGGTTGTATTCAAAGAAAGAAGGAAAAGAAAGGAAACTATCAGACTTCAAATAAATAATTTTTAAAATGCACTGGATACTCCTCACCTCCTGTGGTTGTGCTGCCTTGAAAAGAACTTTCTCAGATATCCTTAGGCACTTTTCCCTCTGCGTAGGGACTGAAAGATCTACCTCCAAAGTTCTTCCGTGTGTGCTTCAGTAATCAGTACCCTTTGCTTTCTATCATATGCTTGTTGTCTTCATTATAGAAATTGAGAGAGCTTTTGAATGGAAAGCGCTGGCCCTGGGTTTGTAATATTACTGTTCTTTCATTAAGACTAAGCCTTCCTTCATCTCCCTGGCCACTGTTTAAGACAGTGTAGGCAGGAGAAGAGATGAGGAGGAGCAAGAGCTCCAAGGAGGAGCTGGTATACCTGGGGCAATGACAAAGTAAAACCACCCCAAACAATGCCCAGGATGAGGTTGGGCAGCTCAAAAGGGCCTCCGTCAGGGTCTGTGTTTCTTGTATGGGGAAGCATGTGAAACCTTCAAGTTCCTCAAGATCAGAACTTTCRTTTTTTATCTCTTTAGTCTAGCTACTGTGACTGGAGAAACTTGACCAGAGAGGAGAGAAGGTGCTGCCAGACCTTTTGTGCCAGGCCTTTTTCACAGCAGTGTTTTATCTCTCTTATCACTCAGAGTTGTGCACTTGTCCACATGCACAGTGTCCTTTCTGAAGTTCACAGTAGTTCTAGTATAGTGGTATATAGTCCTTCATATAAAAGACTTTTCTATATATGAAAAGTAGCCCTTCAGCATTTCTCAGGACATCCTTTTGCATCTTCAGTGCAAAAGTGGCCAAGAGTGTTTTTTTTATATTTAGGCTGACTGCCATCCATTCTGTTTCACTCTTTTTTTTTTTTTTTTTTTTTTTTAATCTGGATTGTACCAGTTTAAGTATATTTTGAGTATTACTATTTTTAACTGCCAGAATATCTGTAGGTCAGGGTCTCCTGGTGTTATGTAACATCACTGCTTTATAAAAAAGACCATTGTCCAGGCTCGGGTTGCATGAGCTTTGAAAAAARGAAAGAAGGATTTTTAGCAATCCTCTATAAAGGTTCAGCATGTGCCCTCAGCCTGCCATTCTGAGGTATGTCAGGCTATAATGCTTTTTCAGAATAGGACATGACAAAGTTGGGCTTGAGTGTCTTTTGAAGAAACAGAGGGTAATCTCCTCATCCAAGGTAATCCTTGGTAATTTCTAGGTGGTATCAGGGAAACTTCTTGAGAGGCCAACCATAGTTGATGCATGGCTGGATCTGCTGTTCCTTGTCCAGGAAAAGTGTTTAGAGAATTTGTAATCACTGGCAGTCTTGATTATWGTGGTCATGAGATAATGGCATTTGCAGTCGTGCAGGGAGTGAGGAAGGCAAACAGCAAAGGCCAAACCTGAGTTTGAGGTGAGCAGATTTGGAATTAAACAAATTAGCCATTTGGAATTAGGTAGCGTCTCATGGGAAGGGCAAAGGAGTTAAGGCATGCTTACAGACTTTTGAAGATAGCATCCTCCAAACACAAGGATGATCCATCTCAGGAAACCAAATAGAAATATCAGGAGGTTGGTTTAGCTATCTTGCCATTGTGAACRGTCCTGCTGTCACCACCTGCCTTTTTTAACCTTGCATACCAGCCGGAGTGAAGKGATGCTTGTCAGAGCTCTGGTACAAAGAATAAAGATATACTCTTAGGATGGAGCTGTGTGAGGTGAATGCTTTGGACTGATTAAGTTAACCTTAGGGTATGTTTTAGCACTCTTCAGCCTCTCCATACCTCAAATGTAATATATTTGGTAACTAACATATTGAAAATTAACTTGTTCCTGCCTCACTAACTTTCCAGTAGAAAGTTAACATTTTCCATGCCTGATGTAAATTCATAATTTATGCATGCAGAGCTCTGATCTTACATTCTTGAGTAATTTTCTTCCTTGAGACAATCTCAGTGATATCAGTGAACCTGTTTGTGTGATTAGAGTGAACTGGATCAGGTGGAGAGGGGATTTTCATCAAGGATCCACTTCAACTGGACTATACATATACCATGGTCYTTGCAGGCTGAGAGACTCCCAAAAAGGCTGAATGAAAATTTATCTGGTCTCACCCTTTAATGTGTCCTACTCTAATGTTGCATGTCGCTGCACATTCTGAGCATTTCATTTGCTCCTGACSAATGCACTTTAGAGAAACAGCTGTGACAACTGTACTTAAAAATGGGTGAAAGAAAATACAAAAATTACCTTTGTAAACACCATTATTTTCAGAGATTTCTGAAAACAGTTAGTCATCATGTACTGCAGGGAAGGTATGTGCTCCCTGCTTGACTTCTGTGGAACTGGGAGGAGTTGGAGATACTATCCTTGTGCTGTCAGGTGTAGCTATTTTTAGCCTATATGGAAGCTATGTAGCCTGCCTTCACACAGGAAAGGCCCTGTATTGGAGCACTCATCTGCTTTGTTTCTGTGTTTCAGACAACCGTGCAGTGTTCAGTCATCCTGCCAAAGCACTAACAGCCTGGATGAACTCGGAAGTTTGGGCACTCGGAAAGAAGAGTGGACCCACTTTTGAATATATAGAGATTAAAATATCTTCAAGAAATGTTACAAGCATGGAAGAATGCTTCCTGTGACTGATAATGAAAACAATGATAAAAAATTGTGACTGATAGTATTGTGAAAGACATTTTTTGTAAGACAACCATGACGTAMTTAATGAGATGTCTAAAGTTAGATTTTCAAATACATCTTTTGAATTTGAAGTGATTTTACTGCATAACTGGATCAGACAGTGGTCCATAACAAGTTAGAATCTTGCTACTGCATGGTTCATGAGGTCAGTATGTATTACCCAGGATATCTTTTAATTGATTCATAAAAGAAAGGGCTAGATAACACTCTACTGCAGCTTCATAAAGTACAAAGAAAGCAACTCTGCAGATGCTTAGCTGCTTTGCTATTTCTGCCTCTGTGCTTTTCCTTCAGGAAGGATGGTGGCTTCTCTCCGCTTCAGAACATATTGAGTACATATATAATGAATGGAAATAAATTCCAAAATATAATATTTTTATACATTGTTTTTTATTTCAAATACTTTTTTTCATTTATATAGAATGTGAGCTTTGGTTTTGTGCAAACAAATTTGGTTTAGTAAATTGCAGCGGTTCTTTCACAACAAATGTGTAATGATGAATAATGTAATTAAAATAGGTGAGAGTTGAGTCAAATTTGTGCTTGAAAATTGGTGTTTGTGACTGAAGGTAATGTCAGTTCTTGAACGCTGTGCTGGCCTTTTTTTTTTTCTGCTGATACTTTTCTTTTATTAATAATATTTCTGCTGTCTTGTAGGAATCCTACTAAAAGAACCGTGACTGTTGTTTTTCTTTTTTTTTCTTTTTTTTTTTTTTTTTTTGTTATGTTGAAATGAACAGTTCTGTCCTTAGTTTTTTTAGCTGATGAATGTACTTGATCACTTTGTATGCATTTCATTCATGAATACCATTCATCTTCAATGAAAATAAAACAAATGAAACTTATTCTTCTCCAAATTGTGTGGAAATGGATTTTTTATTTACTCCTGATTATTATTCATTGACTGAGTTTTGGGTGTCTGGCATCTGGCAGTTCTTTTACCATTCTGGGAGTAAATTGGTATGAGAGTTTGTAAACATAGTCCTATGTGCTGAAGATTTCAAAAGGCTGAAAGATTTTAAAAYATGGTGACACGCACCAAAAAAAAGAGATAACAGCCTTTTCTCTTGCAAGCCTTCCCTGTTAAGAGACCCAACTCTTTTACTCTGAAAAGCTCTGTGCTTGAGCACTTAGGAAAAGACTGTAGCTGCCTTTGAGGTACTGGGAGAAAAAAAAATAGYTTAGCCAGTTTTATGTATGTTCTGTTTTTTTTTAGCAAGTTTAAATTGTTGCAGCCAGTCTTTGAAGCTGCAGAGGGCATGGCTGAAGGTGTAATGTGATTCTTATTGTCCTTAATATCTAGCTAAAACAGATAGCTGGCCAGCCTTTAAAGTATTCTAGGGAGCCTGAAAGGGAAGCTACTAAGTTCAAAGTCAAGTAGTCTCAGAAGAAGCTGTTTCTGAGCTTCCATTTTCAATCCCTATTGACTTTTTACAATTATTTCAGTGACATAAGTAGATAAATTGAAAGATCAGTGTTTTTATACTGTCTGCTGAGTGCTTCCAATGCACAGGAAAGTACAGCACAAGGTTCAGAACCTTCCTRTTCTGAATTCCTCACCTGCACGTGCAGGGGTAGGTGATGCCCTCTTGTACCATCTAGAGATATCTGACGTACTGAGTTGTCTCATCCAATGGGCGTCTCGTGTGGAGTGAAGATAGAATAGTGAGTAACGCAGTGCTAGTATGTGGTATGTATTTTACAAAGCTCAGCATAGATTTTATACTCCTTGGAATGTATGGCTACCTTTTATCTGTAGGATGAAGATGGAAGCTGACAAGATAAAACAGATTCTTTGTGTTTAATCGTGTAAAGAAATGGCAGATACTTTGTTTTAATCATCTTTCTAAGCAATCGTAAGAAAAGCATTGAATTTATTAATAGGATATAGTATGTATGAGAGGGAAAAAGAAGATGAAAATTGAAGGTAACGCTCAAGTAAACRGACAGGAGAATTGAGGCAGTGGGCAGACTAGGAATGCCCTTGTCTTGACAAGGGATAGTGACGCACAAAAGACTTGATTCATGGAAATTACTTCCTTCACTTTTGTCTGTCTTGCCATGATGTTCCTGTCTTCTACAACCATTTCTCAGTCCATCTGCTATGATAGATTTGGAATGTTTTCTTCTGGTGGATAGTATTTGTATTGCTTCTGTTTCATAACATCAAAATCAAGAGTGTTATAGGAGTGTATTGGCCTGTTTAATGACTTACCAGGATATATGATGTTAAATTTTTGTAGTTGCCTCATTTTCAACATAGAATCCAAAATAAATGCAAATTAAGGTTGATGTCATTGCTCCTCTTACAGAAACTTTTTTGCCTTCCCTCTATTAAACCATTATATACTTAACATCTGTAGCTTTACATCTATATCTTTTAAGACAGATATTAATCCATTTTGAAAAACGAAGGGTTTAGCAAGACCTTTTGAGACCTTTARGATTTATATTTGTGTATTTCCCCCCAAGCATTACATTTTAAACCTCATCTAAACAATAAAGGCTTCAACACAGCTACTTATATATGTGTGTGTGTATATAAATAAATAAGTAAATAAATAAATAAATAAAAGTGAGAACTGAAGCAGCTGAAGCAGTTGTTGTGAGAGTGAATTGCCTGTCTCATGGGAGATGGTTCAGACCTGTGAAAAGCCAAGTGAAGTGTTAGCTAATGAAGCTTAACATTGCACTTTTCAATCCTTCCGTTTTGTGGGCTTGAGTACTTCCAGGGATCCAGAGGGGAGGAGGTCACTCCTAGAGCAAGCAGGTGCTGCTGAGGAATAGCTCTACTTCATCATGCTTACCTGCAATATGGAGCTGAGGAAGAGGAATGCAGCTGGGAAGCAATGTGGGTGTTAGAAATTAATAATTGAAAATCTTAATATCTTCCCTATATACATGAAGGGGAGCAAAGTGAGTGTGTATGGAGCACACTTCCATATAGCAAAAGTTATGACAGTGTAGCACTGGATTGGGAAATGAAAAACTCGGATCCAGCAGACTCCTTGTAAAATTTTCCATTGGACACCAAAGGGAATAATGTAGATTGCTCCTGAATAAACTGTCCGGAACTAGACAGGCCAGAGGCAGAAGGGTTACCATTCAATATGCAAATGGCAAATGCAAGAGGAAGCAGTACACCCACTCGCAGGAGCTCTYGGTGGATTGTTCCTCTCAGACTTCTGCTTGCTCTTGGCACACACACCACAGGAACAGATGTCTTTCCGCTTTAACCAAAGACGCTGTGGGCTCTGCGCTTGGCAGCACTCGATCCCAGACATACCTGGCCCAGGTTCCAAGCCAGCACCCCACGTTTACTTGTGTCTAAGGTTTGCTCTCTCTAACGTGGAGATGCTGTTGTGCCTGGCTCAGCTTCCCAGCTGTTGTTCAGATGCACCTCAGCTCTTCTTGGATTTAAAGACATTTGCTTTGGAGGAGTTCTGCACTTCAGCTTGCACTGAGTGTCCCTCCAGTGTGTGCTTAGTGTGGTGCATTGTGAGTCCAGGTACAGGACAAGATAGGCAGTCAGATCTGCCCTTCTCTCCCTTTCTGTCCCCTCTCTTCCTGCCTCTGTCTTTAAATCATCTTCCCATGCTGCTTAGAACAGATCTGCTCTGCTAGCACAAGTTTGCCAACTCATAACTCATTTTCACTAAAACACAACCACCGTCTTAACAGTCATGCTAACAAAACTGAAGCATGTCTCAGCATGACTACAGGTGGCATGTGACATCAGTAAAACTGTATTATTTACATTACTATTCAAAACAGATCTGAAGGCAGTTGGGATTCTCAGAATTGTAACTGATGTGAGAGAATATTCTGTTTATCGAAACCAGCTGAGTGCTTGTCAGTTAGAGGAGAAATTCATTTAGGAGGTGCCTCAGTGCTTGACAGGATCTGCCCTCTGGGGATGGAAACTGACTTAACTCTCAGTGTTTGCTTCCTCGACCCACTTTCATCACAGTACTTAGGACAGGGCACAACATGAAATTAACATTTACTACTTAACTTATGAAAGTGGGTTTTTTTTTTTTTTTTTTGGTAATTATGTATGAATTATTTTAGTATCTTTAGTCTAAATTGACTCGGATTGCTTGTGAAATTATATGTGATCAGCCGTACTTGGAAACAATACATTTTCCATTCTGCATCATACCACCCAGCTGCATGAATTTAGAAGGTTGACTCAGCCATGAGAAACCTGCCGTGAGAGGTCAAGGGCTATTCTGAACTGCAAAGTAAGCAAGGCAGTTTTGCCTGGGCTTTAAGCAAGCCTGGATTCATTAATAATTAATAGTCTCTACAGGAACATCTTTTTAAAAAAAAAGTGCAGAATTATTACAGAACCATTACAATTCTTACTATAATTTTAGTACATTTCATACTATATCTGCATATATGTATATATTACTTTGTGTGAGGTAACACTAAGTTTATCCTTTCACTTGAAGAGGAAAAAATATAGCATGTAAATAAGAAATTGCAGTATTTTCTAAGCCAGTATTTTCTATTGCTTTTTGTTTTTGCAAACTTGTTTCAGTGAAGGCAARATACAAGGAATAACATTATTGCTCTTCTGCCTTTTGCTGAATATGTACCTGACTTTCAGAATCTTTAGGCAGGTATGAATACAAGTAGAAGGGCAGTATAAGATAAATGCCTTACAGTATCAGTGATAATATTAGAAAATCTAGATTCTTTCAAATTTATTTGGAATAAATTTCATAAATTAAAGAAGATGTTACTTTTTCAATTAACACCATGCATTTTAGCCATTGCATACAGAGATTTTATGGAAGATATTGTTGACTCACACTCATTTAGTGTGAGTCAACTCACAACTTCAGCTAATTACTTTTGTGACTCAACTTGTTGGCTAGTGTACTTCCAGTCTCTTCTCAATAGGTGATTAGTTTTCTCAGCACTTCCAAATATCCTGTCTTAGATTAATATTCCTCAAAGTATTGTATTTCCTGCACAATACTTACTTGACACTTGGTGAAACAATTTGTATTGCTGCCAGGAAAAAAATACCTTCAAATGCACTCTCAGAAAAGAAATGGGCAGTGGAAATCTGAAGGATATCTTGACATCTGTGGTGTATAATATATTGCTCAAAGGAACAAAATGAGCTAAAAAGAATGAAGTTTCTACTTATACCTCTAAAAGAGAGAATAATTAACTTCAGTCACAAATTTCCATTTCTAGGCTTAGTAGCACAAAGAACCAAAGGTGATGCTTGCAATAAATGAAATACCTGTGGCAGGAAACATGAAGACCACTGCATTGTTAGTTTCCCACCAAACCATTCCTCTTGCAAAGGTGGAAGGATCTGATATTG